AGAGAGAGAGAGAGAGAGAGAGAGAGAGAGAGAGAGAGAGACAGTCTATACCAGCTAACCCCGAAGTCCAGTTGAACCATAGTCTCATCGTCTATCACCTTCCTATGCTAGGCACTGTTCTACACATTATTCTACTGACAGATCACAGACCAGATTCCTAATAGGGCCACCATCACCTGGGAAGGAGCAGGGAAACCTTTCTTGACTTTGTCCCTAGGTACTCTCTGTGGACTAGTGGGGAGTAAACGCCAGGAGTCTGACCTGTCTTTAAATCGGGTTTATCTGTCTGTTGGTTTTCCAGGGAGGCTCAGGTAGTGAATCCTGGTCATGTGCCATGCCACATCTCACCTCTACTTGCTTCCATGACTGAGGCTCCCTCTGCTTATATTCACCCTGAGGAAGGACACTGCTTTCTGCTCCTTGCTGATATGTACACAATAGGCTCACACAACCAGGATGTTGCAAGTAACATACTTCCCTTCAGTAACTCTCTATACCCTTGGGTTATGCTGTAGATCTAATTTATGTAGCCAAATCCTTGGCTCATAAGTAGAGGACACTCAACTCCATCTGCAGCAGTCCTGAAGAAGAGCCAAGTCAAATTGAAACAAAAAGAAATGGGATGAAAAACAAAGGCAGAAGGCAAGATGAGACAGAGAGAAAAGCAAAGTGAATAGGCTAAGGATATCAGTTAGCAAGTGTGCAAGGGAGGATGGAATGAGGGAGAGAGGGAGGGGGAAAGGTAGGAAGGGAGAAAGGGAGGGAGGGAGGCAGTAAGGATCAGATGGACAGAAGGAAGGTAAAGGAAATAAGGAAGGATCTACAAGTAAATGACCTGTGGTTGGAATTTTTGGGGACTCCCAAGCTCTTGAGGATAAGTACTGTCCCTAGTGCCATGAAAATCTTGTTCCAGGAAGTGAGATGTGGGTATAGGCAGGAGATGGGAAAAACAAACACTCATCCAGAGACCCTGAGTGTGGCCACAGGTACCTGGAAAGAAACTCTCCCTTGCTCCTAGGAGGATGTGAAGGAGTCACAAGCAGCCGGTCCACATAGTTGAGTCCCATGTGATGACTCCTGGGCAGAGAGCTCCTCTTATCTATGCCAGACATGACTGCCACAGGATGTTCATGCCTGTACTTCCTGTATAGCTGATGTCTGCTGCTCTAGAGCCTTGCCTTTTTCGGGAGCCGGACTGGTTGGTGCCCCACATGGATTGCTGGTACTCTGGCTTCTCCTGAGGATGGCAAGCCTGCTGGAGTCTCCTTTTTTACACTGTTTGGAATAGAGTCCCCCTCCTCCAATTTCCTCACCCCAACCCCAGATCTATTGAGAAAAACCAGAGTTCTTGGTGGGAACACAAAATAGTTCCACTGGATAGCAGTATTGTACCCTGAATACCAAGATGCTCTTCTGTCAGGCCTACTCCTTCCACCCTTCTTTGAGCAAAAAAAAGCCAGCAACAATTTAATACCAGACTCCAAGATGGCTGACTACCATCATGGCCACTTCTGGACAAAGATGGGCCTCCCAGCCTAACTCATGGGAATCTGACCCAGAAGTGTCTCAGTCCCCACATGGTCCTCATTCCATTCCAAGGCCATCATGCCTCCTCAGGGAACCAGGATCCACTCCAGAAACTAAATTAGGAACCTCATCACTAGATGAGACAGGGTAAGCTACAGAAACAAAACCTCCTGAACCCATGGCTGACAATAGCCCCCTTTTCATCAGGAACATTGATCACCCTTTCAGCAGATCTCCTCTGAATTCTCAGAAGACCCAAGCCACCCACTCAGTTAAGATGGCCTGCTACCTTTCACATAGTTTCTTGATATTTGTCAACAACTCTAGCATCCCACAGCTATGGCTACCAAGCTCATATCTAGTGGACTAAGCCAATCCATGATGAATATATGCTCTGCCTCCAGAGTGTTAAGTCTCAGACCCTGGGACAAATGGCTGAGTGCCTACTTAATATATCAAAGCAGACACTGGCCACCAGGTTCTCCCAGCATCCCTCAGTCCCTATCTGTTACAGGGTATGGTTGGCATACCCCACCCTCTACCCTGAACTCTTCAGCCCAAGGGCTGGGCTGCCCTTCCCCCAGAGGCTCTTCTCTGTATAATCTAACCATTTTGATTACCCTCCTCTTTGGGGCTCCTGGCTGCTGTATGTGGTTCTCCCCCCCCTCTCTCTCTCTCTCTCCCTCCCTCCCTCGCTCTCATCTCCCTTCCCCTTCCTCCTCTGCCCACATGGCACAACTCAGTCTGCTCATGTCCATTCTGGACTCTCCCACATGTCCCTGCCTCTGACTATGCTTTCCATTTTATCTACAATAAGCTTTCTCTTCCACCATACTTAGGAGCAGTCATGTCCATCATTATTTATTTCTTTTTTTTCATTCAAAAAGAACCTTGCAATCCTTCCTAGACAGCCACAGAATCTACAAACGTCCTGCTGTGGTCAGATAGGTGTCCACGTCGTTTGTGTTTTGCCCTGAAGTACAGGATGCTAGCCTGAAGTTATAGAGGCCCATATTCATCTTATGTGCTTACAAGTTGTCTGGATCATCATCCATACAACTCCTAAACCAGGTTCTATCACTACAATCTCACTTAACAGCCTTTTCTACAACTTGTGGTTCAAACTACACCAGATGATATACCACGGTTGTATTCAAGAGTCTAACTGCCTTGTTATCCTGTCCACCAGAATTTCCATAGATCTGAGAGACTGTTTTTGAATAGAGTACTTACCTGGAACTCTAAGATGTAGACACAACCAGAGATCATAGTGGAAGCCTTTCTCACTCTGTTCACCCTGGAAGAAAACACCAGAATCTCTTTTAGTTCATGTGGGTGTACCAAACTGATGGTCAAAATGTGACACTATACCCCTTACTTGACCAGCCTAGAGGGTACATTCAGGCTATAATATCAGGGCTCAGGTACAGTATAGCTTTTGAAGAAAGTATGCCACGAAAATTAATTCTATTCTTCCTTTGGAAACCTCCAAGTTATTAAATTCAGGTTGATTACATATAATCTTTAAAATTTAGTTTCTTTCTTTCTTTTTCCTTTGTATTTATTCTTTTCTCACATATTTCACCCCAATCACAGTTTCCCTTCCTTCTTTTCTCCCAGTCTCTCCCCCAGATCTACTCCTCCTCCATTTGCCTTCAGAAAAGGGCAGGTCTCCCCAGGGATATCAACCAAACCTGGCATTTCAAGATACAATAAGACTAGGCACACCCCTGTAGGGGAAGCTGTAGCGACGCCTTCTTAGGGGCTGGCTACAACAGTACCTGAGGGCTTGTGAGGGCGTGGTCAGAGGAGTAGGGGGACTGCATTTTCGGTTTCGTTTTCTCTTTGCTTCTTGCTGTACAGACTACCACCGGCTGGCTGGTTCGCTCTGTAAGTAAGGCTTTTCCCTATTAAATACCCTTATATTTCTACCTGACTCTGTATTGGTAATTTCTTACTATATCTGGTGTCAGAAGCGGGATATTGGAAACCCACACCCCATTTGGGACAGGCTGTGGGTTCCATCGGGCCCGCTGCTTAGGCCCGGAAAGCACCCACTCTCCACAGGCGTTCCCGGCTAGCAGCCGACCCACTGCTGCTGAGCTGCTCAGAAGC